TGCAGAAGAACTACAATCTCATGGGAAGCCATGTCAACTGTCTCTCAGGATGGAAGCGTGTGTGGTGGACCTGGCACTATGTAGATGCCAGTCAACTGCAGATGCCTCATCCAGTCATCAGAATCCATCATGCTTCACATTTCTTTACCACTGTTAGGTGTTCAAAGTGATCCATATTAGCAAAGGATGACTCTGTCAATTTACTTTTCATTACATTCTATTTTTTATTGTCAGATTCTTACCATCCCACTCATAATGGGATAAATTGTTCTCAGAGATGGAATGCAACTAAATTCTCACGCATCCTTATTTCTCATGCATTACCTAGTCAAAAGCCTATAAGTCAAGTCAGCATTATTATGCCCCATATTACAGGTAAGCGGACTGAGGGTGAAAGGTAGCCCTTTTTCTAAAGCTAGTTTTTTCCAATGTGGTGTCCTTCACATATTTTGCACTGCAAGTCCCAACATTCCTGGCCTTTGGTCATGCTGCCTGTGACTGATGGGAGTTGAAATCCAAAATATTTGGAGGGCTCCAGGTTGGGGAAGGCATCACAGGAGCAAAATTTGAAGTAGGCGTGGGCCTGTAACTTAGTCTTTTAACCCCTATGCTATGTTCCATCAATTCTTTTCCTTATATGCTGCTGAGGATGTGTGTGTGTGTGGGGGGGTGCGCATGCGTGGTGTCTGGAGGAATGAGAGTTCTGGATCAAAGCCTCTATAGCTCATAGGTAATATTTTCTCCTCCTCCCCTTCCAGAGCACACAGATGTCACAATGGTAACCCTCAGCGAAACAAATGCTAAGTTTGCCATTCACTTTTATCATCTGCTGACCTGCGAACACCCATGGGAAAATGTCTTGTTTTCTCCTGTGAATTTTGTGACTGCTCTGGGCCTGCTTGTTCTTGGATCCGATTGTGAGACAGCAGCTCAGATAGAAAAGGTACGAGATATCAAAGTGCTCTTCTGCTACTTTCTCCATGGGTTCCTTCCATGTATGAACTGCCCGTAGCAGAATCCTTCTCCTGTCCTATATGACAAAACAACAACGTTACCGAGTTCCAAGACATTGTCCTGTTGGCCTGGGACACTGAGTTGTAGATCATGACTGTACAACAGAGATTTCATGAAACATGGATGAAATATGATAAGTTGGAACAGTTTTTGGTAGGAATGAGAGCTTAACAGCAGAGTGTGTGTTCTGTATGAGAAGGTCACTGGTAACTAAGGGTGCCAGGAAACAAGTGATTGGGAAGACCTTTGCCTGCCTAAAACCTTGGAGAGCTGCTCCTGGCCCGATGGATGAATAGTCTGAGCTGGTCTAAAGCTGCTTCCAGTCTGCCTAGCCTTGCTTTGCTTACATGTATTGTTGATCCTGCTGTGAATCAACAACTGCAGCCTCTCACGTAGAACACTTCAGTGTATCAGAAAGATCTGAATGTGCACAACAGATTTCCACTGCTGAAGCTAAACAGGTCAAAACCTGCAACATGCCTGAGGGAATTGTCTACTAGTCACTGTAAACTTTCATGAGATAGAATGAAGATTAATTGTATTTTTGAAACCCTTAGTCTTAAAAGTTAAGACGGTTCATGCAATGTAGTTAGAGGGGTGAACTGGGACTCAGGAGACCAGGGTCCTAGGACCCGCATGGCCATGAAGTTCCCAAGCTGACTTTGAGTCAATTACTCACTCTCACCCTAACCTACCTTGCAGTGTTGTTGTAAGGATAAAATAAAAAGGAGAAGGACTATTTATTTATTCCGTTTCTATACCATCCAATAGCCAAAGTTCTCTGAACTGGTCACAACTATTAACCAAGTACAAAAGATGCGATAGGAATACAGATACAATAAACACAGTATAGAATTCCAGTTTTTTAAAGAACTAAAAATCCCTATATACAAAAATATAAAACAGGTTAACATCTAAAGCATTTTCATTAAAAACTAGACAAAATTAAAACAGCAGATATAACCCATCATATGCTATTAAATGTCATTATATGCCAGGGCAGTTTTAAGCTAACTCTGAAAACATGACAGTGTTGGAAGCAGGCAGACCACCACTGAAAAGACCCTTCTTGCTGCCTCTTTCTTGGCTTCTCTTGGAAGTAGTAGTCAAAGGAAGGACTCAGATGCAGATCATAAGCTCTGGGTAGATTGAGATCAGGAGAGGCATTCTATCAGGTATTGAAGTCCTAAGCCATAGAACCCTTTTTATATTAAAACCAGCACCTTGAATTGTGCCTGGAAGCATATAGCCAGCCAATGCAAGAGGGCCAAAATTTGTGTAATATGTTCTTCACTTCCTGGTCCCAGTTATTAATCTGGCTGCTTCATTTTGCACTATGTACACTGCCTCTGGTTTCCCAGCAAAAGGGAAAAAATCAAAGAAGAAGAAGAAGAAGAAGAAGAAGAAGAAGAAGAAGAAGAAGAAGAAGAAGAGGAGGAGGAGGAGGAGGAGGAGGAGGAAATAGGAATCCAAATGAGATCATATCTAAGCATTCAATATAATCTTCCAGTGAGACAGATTCCATTAGGGTTGGACCACTCTAGACTGCTAGCAAAGGTGTGGCATGTCTGAATGTTCTGTCACATAAAAGTTCCCACTTAAAAAATGAGGGAGGGAGGGAAGGAGTCTAACGTGGCTGTCTAAGCAGGTGTAGGCAACTCTTTTGATGTGTTGCTAGAAAGCTGAGGGTATTTGTAACAATGAGGCAAGCCACCCTCACCAAAGCTGCCTGGAGTCCCCACCTTCCGACAGGCCCCGGGACTAGAAAAGCCTAATCCCTGTCCTTAAAAAAAGAAGTGGCACTGGACCAGCACACGATGACCCAAGTCTTGGGGGCAAAGGGTCTTTATTAAATTAAAACAGACACACACACAGACAAGGAATTGCAATAACTTCAGCTACTCAGAAGTAAAGGAAGGGGAAAGGGAAGAAAAGGTTGAGGTAGTAGCTTTGCTTTGATACAATACAGTTCCAAATATTCACCCCCTCAGGGTTGTTTGACCATCCCAGACCCTAAAACAACAAACACTGACTGAACTAAAACCTAATAACTCTCACTGTACCAAACCAGTCTCCTCAGAAGTAGCAGTCCTGATCTCCTGGGCTCAGGTGTTTGGCAGCTGGGGTTCCTCCATCTACCTGCGAGACGCAGCTACCTGGACACCAGCATTCCTTTTTATCCTCTCCTCAAGCAATCATAACCCGTTGTTCTCCAGGATGTCACCCAAGAATCTAAACCATTTGCCCTCTAAGGGGCACCGGATCAACAAGACCATTTGGTTTATCATCTCCCTCGCCTTTGCCTGGCCTTCTTCCCTGGGAAGATGGTGTCTGACCTTGTAAATCTTCAGGCCTTCAACTCTCTTCCTCCCACAACCTAACCTCAGTGCCAGCACATCCCTGCCCTGGCCACCTGGGCCAAACCGGCTTTTCTCCCCATGCTGGCTGCTCCTTCACTTAACCCTTGCCTCTCCTTCAGTGACTTAAAGCTGTTTCTGTTACAGTATTAGGAAATGGATGGCCAGGCAGCCCTTCTAGGGCTGTTCTTTCCATGGAATTCCATGATTGTTCTATACAGACTGTGGTGATCCCAGGTTCAGATAACTGGAGAAGCCTCAAACCATAGAAGCATGGAAACCATAGAAGATTCTTTATGTGGCTTTGGAAAACCAAAGATGCCACACAGAAATGCCACAACTGGGTCTGGTTGACACAGTAGGCCAACAAGAGTAAGAAATCACTATGATTTCTCACAATGTGTGAACCCAGCTATTGCCTCATGCTTCCCCTCTCTCCCCCTTGAAACAAACTCCCAGCACTGCCTCCAAGGTCGATCTTCAGTTCTTGGAGCTGCAGCTGGTTCAGAAAGAACCCAGCTGCCTGTAGGCATGTAGGGAAGGCACTCCAGGGTCAGAGTTCCAGCTCCAGTTCCTTGGAATACATTTCTGAGGTAGGAGCTCCAACTCCAACCTTTCTTATGTCCATCTAGACACTGTCCGGCAGCCATAAGGTTATGCCTTCAATGTAAGCAGCCTCCACCCTAGTGACATTTCAGCTGTGGTCTCAAGACAAATCAGCCTGCTTCTTTGGAAGACTCTTCTGTGGAGAGAAATCTCCCACTGCTCCTATGGCTAATATGTTGTCTTGTGACAATTAATTGTCTTAAAGCTTATTTACTACAACTATCCCATTATTCCATTCTAGATAATTCACTGGGATGAACTTACAAAGTCCAGAGGCCCCAGGACTAGAAGAACTTTAGCAGCATCAAGAAATTATGGCTACTTGGGAGACAGACAAAGAGTGGCTTATCAGACCTCTCCCACAATGGTATCTTCAACATAATTCTCATTGCATTGTGCTTGTGAAAATGGAGGCTTTCACTGATTGGCTGAATTAAGGGGTAGCTCTTTTTAAAGTATTCTAGGTTATGGCAGAGAAAGGAAAGCTGTCATTTTGGCTGGGATTGCAGCCACAAACATGGGATGGTCAGGACTGGGAAAGGTCCTGGGAGGTAGGAAGTGAAGGAACAGTGAAGGGAGGATGAAGAATTAACAGCGACCTGAGAATGAGGAGCTTGAAAGAGAAAGCAAGGGGGTCCCATTATGATCTAGGTTAAAGAACATTAGTGGGTTGCTTGGAGGAGATTCTGCTTTCATTCTGAAGCTACAGTGACCTAAAAGTGAGCTGATGCAAGCCAGTAGCTGACCCATTTCCATCACAGCAGCAAGTCTGTGAAACATACAGTGGAGATCACAGAAGCCGCTGTTACTGAAATCTTCCATATACATGAAAGATGCAAGATGAGGATAGAGGATCCAAGGAGAGGAAAAAATAGCCTATCAGGCTCTTAAAAAGGGGTAAGGGATAACATCATCATACCAATAGTGTGCTTTGCTGTAGTAATTTAAGGGCTTAAACCTATGGAGGTTTAGAGAGAAAGAAGCCCTAGAACTTTTTTTTAGATGCATAAGATTGCAGCCTAGATGGACTCAATATGGTGTTCCCAGGAATATAGCAGTAATACAGTCCTATTCCAGGGGATCCGCTCTCCGGATGTTCGACTGGGGTTGCGTCTGGAAGCAGCCCCACATGGTAGTTCTACAAACAGCAGGAAAAGACTTGATCCTCCATGCTGTCCACACCATGAGGTAATGTGCCAGAGAGGGAGAAGGTATAGGCAAGATAAAATAGCAGGTCAGGAGATGAGTGTGGTGGTGGAGAAGGAAAACGATTGGATGAGCAGGGGGTGGAAGACAAGTTGAGAATGGAGGAGTGGGGAAGAAGTGGGCAGAGGAGGAGTGTGAGCTGAAAGAAAGCTCTGTGGGAAGGAAACCCCAGGTGGAGAGGGGGAGGAGGATGGGGACCAGGCAGGGAAGGGAGAAGCGATAGAATCCATGGGGGAGTGTGGAAAAGAGAGATTCTGGGGAAGGGTGGCGGATGTGACTGTCGACCCTAAAACATTACTTAACCTTGTTATAGGCCATCTTGTCCAACTGTCCCTTTAATGCAGGAAATCCGAGGTTATACCATTTTTAGTAGAGGCATGCCTAGTAAAGGCCTGCAGGTAAAGGGAATGAGCTATAAATCAGGAACAGTCTGGTTTGAATGGCCAGCCACTCATCCTACCAGTGTGCAGTATGTGGATAAGAGTACTAACTTACTTGAAGTGTTGCTGTAAAAATCACAAGGTAATACACATGCTGTGCCTTGAATGCTTGAAAATACTATATAAACACCAAGTCCTAGTATTAGTACAAGAGTAAAGCCAATTGCGGGAAATCTCAGCAAAGGTAAACTAAATGCCAGAGAGCAATGCCAAGTCCCAGACTGTGCAACAGGCTAAGCAAAAGCAAGGAAAGCCAGAAATACTAAATATTCACAAGAAGCCTAATTGTGTCGAATGATTCTTGTATAATGTTCCGTACATGCGAGCGCACCCCTGGAATCTGAGACAAAGACATTGGTCCACTGAGTGCTGGATGCATGTCATCAAGTGATAGACCAGCCCGTGGATTTTAATATCTGCACATGTATGATTAAGTCTCTTACTTGAAGGTTCCCGATTATGAATGCGAGACGCCTGAGGGGGTCCATACCGCTTTCCACAAAATCCTTGTAGAGCTCTATAAGCCCAGTGCAGGCCATGTGCTCAGCATCGCTAACCGACTGTATGGAGACCAGGACATTGCTTTTCTGCAGGTAACTTCAGTTAACAGGTTGTTGCGTTACAGCAGAAGGTTCAAGTGGTTTTCAGCATAATTCTGCTTTGAAGAAGCTCTCGTGAATTGCATTCCAGGGGCGGGTGCACAGTTCAAGGCAAAAAGGGCTGGGGCCAAAATACTGGCTTTAGTTTAATCGCTTCCTACTGTTGGCGAAGATTTAAAAGAAGCATTTCAACCTTTTAGCAAGGTAAAAATGCACAAAAGCTGGGAAACCACCAAATAATGGGTGGGGGAAAGGAAGAAGAGAAATCAGCATCTGGGGAAGTCTGAAGGGCCAGAGTTGGACAGTAAGCAGGTCTGAAGGCCCAGGTTTTCTACCCCTGCAGTACAGAATCTGGGTGTCAAATAGGAGTGTGGGGTCCATTGCCTCTGATCAAGTTACTGCATTAAAATGTTCAAGGTGGCTAGCAAGGGACATAACAATATAGCACTATCTAAAATTCAAAGCAGGCCAAATATTTACTTGACATATTAATTTGCACAATTGTTTTTATAGGCAAATATTTTATCTGCTTTCTGTGTTTCAGTGGTGTTGCATTTTGTTGTGTGATGGCTTTTTAGAATTATGGTTCAAACAATGCTGTTTGCTAGCTGTGATGTGCTCCTTGTGAGAAAAGATATGAGATTCCCCCCCCCACACACACACACACACAAATAAATGTAACAGCCTAGTAAAACATCAGTAAAATAAAATGCAGGTTAAAACACAGAGAAGCAGAGAAAAAAGTGAGTTGCATTATTTCCATAGCTGTTGAAAATATACGTATTTCCATACAGAAATTCCTTTACTGTGCTCTGAAATTGTACTGGACTAAGGTGGATAGAGTCAAGATTCATAATGCACCAGAGGAAGTCCGGCAGCTGATAAACCTGTGGGCTGAAGTACATACACAAGGTATAGATATCTTCAGATTATATTCCCACCCTTTTATGATAAAAAGTAAGGTTAAATTCTAAGATGAATGGCACAATCGATGATTTGATATACTTTTAGGAAAAAACCCAGAATTGTTCAGTCTAACATGGCATATAAATATGGATAATGATAGCAATCATAATAGCATAACCAGATAAGAGAACAAGAAGGAATTCCCAACATGCACACATGCACATGCACACGATTCCCTTGCTCACAACAGTAACAGCTTTTCCACAGTTATGTGGACATGAACCCATTCACATGTTGAAACACACTATGATTATGAAGGTCCATGGCCTAAGGAACTGGGAGATTCTCCTATATATTATTTACAGAGTACCAGCAGTAGATGCAGTATTTTCCTGATTTCATTTCCCCCCCAAAAACCATGTTCCAGAGAGTTCAGGACTCTATTCATTACCTCCATACTAGTCATAATTGTAAAACATTCTCTTTTTTCTTAATTCAAAGGTTATAGGTGCATTGGGCAAATTTTTCATACAGTGCTAAGTTATTATGTCTCAGATCCCAACTGAGTCATACTTGGAGTCAGCCATTGAAATCATGACTAACTTAAGACCCATTGATTTTGATTGCAAATTAAAGCTTCACAAAATGAATCTGAACTTTGAGTAGAAATGGATTGGAGAGTGTATTCCACACACATTTATTTTACTGATTCAATAAACAAGCAGACAAGTTCTTGGCCTCACCCCCAAGGTTGTAGTCTAGATACAAACATTTAAGAAGCCAGAGTCTTGCATGGGTAACAGGTAATGGCTTCCTTTATAAACCACATGTAAATTACAAAAGGTCTTACTCCAAATGCTGTCTCTACTTACAGGTAAAATCAAGGATCTCCTTCCCAAGGGCAGCATCGATTGTCTCACTCAGCTGCTGCAGGTGAATGCTCTATATTTCAAAGGACAGTGGGAAGTCAAGTTTAACAAAGAATTCACACAAGAGGGCCCATTTTTCTTGAATGAGGTGAGTTCCAGAAATCTATCCAGAGCCTTCTACTTCTCTTCCTAAACCAGTCTTTCTCTGCCTGGTGCCCTTCAGAGGATCAACTCTCAGCCAGGATGACAAATTACCAGGAATACTGGGAATTGTAATCTAAGGAGTATGTCTAGAAGAGACTAGAAGTTGAGTGAGGCTTTTCCAAATGTGTCGGAAAGCACAGAATATTTTAAGAAATGGTATGGCACCATTGCTCTTTTCAGACATATTCGAAAGTTGCTAGATGCTTAGGGGTCCCACTGGCACAATACAACATACCAGGCAACCTCCATTTTTTAGCTTGTTGGATCCAGATTTACTCATGCTTACAAAAGACCCATTGAAATGATTAAATTGCCCCATTTTTCTCGGTAGATGGATTCTAAATATGACTAAGTTGGGATCCAACTATATGCAGCTGGGGTCTAAAATGTCCATAGCTGATGCTGGGGGCAGTTGCCCACCATATGATTTTTATCACCACACAAAGAGGAAAGAACACGTTCTTGCAATCCATCACAAGCAGAATGGTATTCATGAAACTGAAACATTCCAGCAGTCTAGTACCAATATGCAGTTCAGTGCCAAGGACACATTTGGTCTTTCCTCCAGATTAGTTACTCAGAATAACAACACAGTTTCTTGCAAAAGCAAAGAGGTTCCAGTATTTCTGTTTTTCTTACTATTTCTTACAGAAGGATTGCACAGCTGTGCAACTGATGTACCGGAAGGGCCAGTATAGGACAGGCAAAATTGAAGGATGTGATGTGCAGGTCCTTGAGATCCCCTACAGAAACCATGATCTGAGTTTGTTCATCCTGTTGCCCAGAAACTGCAAACCCGAATCTCTTCGAGAGGTAATTTTCTTACTCCAATGATATTTATTTTTTCTTGCCATTAATTGACATCACTTTAGCAACCAGTTTATGAAACCAGTTCCTATTGTCCACTTCTTGTTTCCTTTCCAAATGTTCAGAAGTCTCCCTCCCTTTGCTATTACATTCTGCTGGGCAAGCAACAGTTATCCAAAAGTTACACACCCAGAACAAAAACCAGCTTCAGAAGATAGTCTTTCCCCAGGATTGGAGTAAAGAATTAAATTTTGCCTCTATAAATGTTGCACCCTTGATAATGAAATCAGCCCAGCTGATTTGAATCTTTAAGACCCAGCTCACTCATTTAGCATGGATGCATTTAACATCATGTCTAGTTTGACTCTCAAAGAGGTGAACAGGCCAAGTCTATGGGGAGAAGCAGAAGGAGATACTGGTTCCCCATTTCTTCCTGGCTGGGGCTGAAAGGTTTGGCAGTGGACCCTCCCATGGCACATGAACCAGGCAATACTGACTTCCAATCCTTCTGCTGATTGGTCTGCCAATCACCAAAGTAGAGTTCCTGGTCTCCTTGTCAATCACTGAGCATACTCGTCTAGATAGCTGATCAGGCTAGGTCATCATTTCAGATCTGATTCAAACCTCAGGAATTTGGAATACAGGAAGCTGATTTAGACCATCTCAGAGTATTTGTCCATCTAGCCCAGAGGGAATTTGCTCAGCATGACAACCTGCCATGAACAACCAGGCATCTGAACCTACTGGGTTCTCTGCAGAGTGGCTTAATTTTTGTGAACAAGCTACGTACTACGAGAACCCATGACTTCTTGTAGGGTTGTTCATACCCATGGTAGGTTGCTATACTGTCTGAACCTGAGAGAGTGGCTCTATGTGGGGCTACCCTTGAAGATGGTCTGGATACTTCAATTGGTGCAGAATAGAGCTGCCAGGTTGCTGACGGGGACTGGGCATTGTTCTCATATAACCCCAGTTCTCCATCAGCTCCACTGGCTCCCGATTGAAGTCCGGCAAGGTGTTGGTTATGACCTATAAAGCCCTAAACGGCTTGGGACCTGGATATCTAAAGGAATGCTTACGCCCATATATGCCCTCCCGCCCCTTGAGATCAGCAATGGATGCCCTTCTCCGGGAACCTTCTGTGAATGATATTAGGAGGGTGAGTACCCGGAGGAGGGCCTTCTCTGTGGTGGCGCCCCATCTATGGAATGCGCTCCCCAGAGAGGTCCGCCTGGCGCCGTTGTTATTTGTTTTTCAGCACCAGGCTAAGACCTTTTTATTTAAAACTTATTTTAATTGCTAAATTATTGTATTTATTAGGATTTTAAATTAGCCAAGAATGCACTGGGGGGTTTTAAATGTTTTTTTTCTTTTGTATTTTTTGTGAGCTGCCCCAAGGCTTTGTTGCGATGGGGGTGGCATAGAAATGCTTTAAATAAATAAATAAATAAATAAATATCATGGGTTGCTGGGTTTGGCTACAGAGCAGCACAGCAGGAGTGGCACAAAAGTGCCCAGTTTTGTCTGCAGCCCCACTGGCTAGTGACTCCCATTCCATGGATGCCCAAGTAACTCTTTGGAGGGATCATCACTTGTTTGCCACCAAGACTTGAGAGTGCACAAGCAGGGCAATTCTTCATTATTGTTTCTCCCTGTTCCTTCGCAAGTATATACAAATGCATTTTCATCCAGTCTAGTATGTGTAGTTTTGCATTATCAGTTTCCTTGTATGCTTCAGCTGTCAAATGGAATCAAAAAGCTAGAGCAACAGGTACATCAAAAGCATGTGGAGCAAGACAATGTCTCCCACTTGTAATGTCATCCTCTTGCTTTTACTACTTGACTTCAACTTGCAGTATTTGAACAGTTCCCCAGCAAGTCCAGCAAGTCCAGAAACAGAAGATAGTGGTTCCCCATTTTTTCCTGGCTCATTTTCAGAGAAATGACTGCTGTAACTCCTCTACAGAAAGGGGGGAGCTGATGTCTCCTTTTCTGGACTCTCTGGGGACTAGAGGGAGGTGTCATTATTCTCCTCCCATTCAACACATGCCAGTTCAACACTTCAACAGCAGGATTGCACACAATGAAGTGCAATTGTGGTTCTTATATGGAATACGGAACTGACCTCATCACTGTAATTTGTCTCCCTCCAGCTGGAAGATGAACTTGATGACTTACTGCTTGACTGGTCTTGCATTCTGAAGCTGAAAGAAGTGGAGGTGCTGATCCCAAAGTTCAGCATAGAGAAGTGCCTTGACGCAAATGCCTATTTAGATATGTCAGCCCTGACTGATCCTCAAAAAGCCAATTTCTCTAGGGCAACAACCACAACAGGTGTGGCTCTATCTCAGCTTGTCCATCATACCGTTATTGAAATTGATGAGGAAGGTGGAGAAGAACCAGAAGCTCCCACTTGCCATCATGACACGTATCCATGTCAGGAACCTAAGCCATTTGTGGCTAACCATCCTTTTGTTTACTATGTCCTGCACAAAGCTACCCAAAGCCTTGTGGCCTTGGGTAAATTCATTAAGCCAGAAGAAAGGGTTGATGTACACTGAGTAGAACTGGGGACCTCTAGCCCCATTTAAAGAAAGTATCTGTGGAACTGGTGGCAGGGTTATCAAATAGATCCCCTTTTCTCTAGCACCCACTCTGGGAACCCGTCCTCAAACTGCTGATGCTGTGTTGTTGTCCTGATGTTAACTGCTTCATGACCGGGAAGAAACAGGATGGACCGCAAAGGATACACCAGACCGCTAATTTGGTGCTGGGCATCTTTTTTATCACTGTGCTTGAAACCTAGTGGGGACTAACATGGAGTAAAACCTCCACCAGGCCTAAATGGATACACATTTCCTTTCCAACCAACTCCCTTGCAGTATCATTGGTGAAACACCCTCAGAAACTTGTAGCTGTCCTGCATGTTGTTTACTTGGTGGTCGGATTAGGATCCTATATTATGTGAGTCTCTTTTTGAAAAATTGAATTCCCGACTGATATTGTAACAGGCTTTTAGGATCTGACTGTTTAGTGCGTGTAGTTCGGTTCATATTGCTGACTTGAGATTAAAACCAAGCATTCAAAAGGCAGCCTTGTTTTCTGTTGGTCTCCATTAAGAAACAAGTGGTTTGTAAAATATTGTATTCGGTAAACATGCTCTGACATAAAAAGTGGGACTGGCAACAAAATATTGCAGACTGAACACTTCTGATCAAGGACCTGGCTGTCTATGACTCTGTCAGGGTATGCTATTCCATCCCCTTCCACCTATTTTCCCTTCCTCTTTCTCCAACAGTTAGACAACAGTCTATGTCCACTCAGCATGCACAGTTTTCACTGGTCTATTGTTTCGTTTTGTTTTTTATTTCCCTACCCCTTCTGTAGGAGGATAAGTTTTGCACTCTCTTTTTTAAAGGTTCAGTATATGCTAAGACATCAAAGTTTCAGTATATACTATGACTCTCTCTGTCCCTTTGAAAGAGGTATACAAATGTCCCCAAGATGGAAAGGGAGATGCAGTGACATGCCTTGTAAAATTAAAATGTGGCACAAATATGGTCAAGGGATGACTGACACTTGTCACTGAGGTCAAGGGAACTAGCCTCAGAATAGCTGCCACAGGATATTTCCAGATCTACAAAACACACACTGCAAAACCGGAATGAGTGCAGTTCCTGGGCAGCAGGTGCATTTCTTCCCTTACGAAAAAATCTTCACAGCTGGGAAAATGTAACTGCCCAGAGAAGAGAGGCCGTTTGTGTGAAACCTGCTTGGATCCTGCATTTAACAACCAAGGGACATGTGAGGAAATGCCTCTGGGTCTGGCCCCCTGAGCCCACTGCCTTCTTTGCATGCTGTTAGGCATGAGGAGAAAAGCCTAGAAGAGGAAAGGGAAGTGTATCCAAGTCAGGCTCTCAGGTGGACGAGTGAAGTAGCTGTGAGGAAGAGTCCATATGCCTTAAAGGAGCATTTAAAGCCCCCTATCCCTGTTGATGTGAATACAGAGAAATATTCATTCAGGGATGCATCTTAAACAAAAACAAGGTAAGTTTTGATTTACAGACATGTACTATACATAAAAGAATCATTTTAACAAAGCTGACTAATTTCTAAAGCTACTTTATCTACTTCTTTCCTACCACTTCCAAACTACTCAAGCAAATATATTACACAGCCAAAAATATTCTTTAGGGATGCAGAACTGGCTTTTTCCAAGGTGTGGTTTTGTAAGGCTACACACATAGATTGGAAGATGGCATTTATAATCAAGAAAAGGGGTTGTAAGTTGATAGGCTTCTGGGTTATATCACTTAAAATGTCAAACTATAATACATATATAATCCAAAACAAAGCTCTATTGTTGCATCATTTTAGTTTCTTAATTAAATTTCTACCCTGCCTTTCTACCAAAATGTGGTAGAGTCCACCCTTTCCTATTCTATCCTTTTTCCCGGGAGATCAAGATGACATACATAATTCTCCCTTTGATTGTCACAAAAACTCTCTGAGGTCAGTTGGCTTTGTCATAAGTCCTATGCAGGTGTTGCAAAATGGATATTGTGGAAGGGACAATACCACTACCACTGCCAACCTCTCTTTGGATGCTCCTGATCAAAATGGGGATGCCTGAAGTAGAGGGGTGAGCTTGTGCCCCATGTGTTTACTTTGGCTAGACAGAGATCCAGCGTGGTGCCATGGATAAAAGTGCAGGACTGGGGTTCAGTCGACCTGGGTTCAAGTCCCTGTTTGGCCATGTAGCCAAATAGGTGACTTTGGGCCAATCACAGACTCTCAGCCCAACCTACCTCATAGGGTTGTTGTGGGGATAAGACTGAGAGCAGGAGAAGGAGAGTGAGGTAAGCTGCATTGCATTCATGAGAAAAAAGTGGGCTATACATCAAATAAATCTCTCCTCCATTGTTCAGTTTGATAATGCATGAATCAGGCTATGATGACTGGCTGAAGGTTACAGAGGATAGATAGAGGAAGAAATTTTTTAAAAGTTCAATAGGATATACTTGCAACTTAGGAGATATATATAATTCCTCTTTAGATTGGGTACTCGGTACAGTAAACACCCCTCTCCCCTGCACACACACACATTTACCTTCTGTATTTCATACTTCATGCAGGCACTTGCATGGTATTCCTGAGCACACCTCACATGTGAAGTATACACTGTGTATTTCATTATACAAACCATCTTAAATCAAATAACGAATGACTTGCTATAAATGCAAGCCTGAAATAATGACAGTGAGGCTGCACAAAGCTTTCTCTATATAGCTTGATACATTTTAGAACAACTCTAGATTCACCTAGCTGCCACTTGGAAAAGAAGGTAAACTTTTCTGTTCTCAGGGGTTTAGAATGTATTTTTTCCAGGTGCAAATGGGATGGAGGAATTGTGTTTTAGAGAAACGGAATAATTCACTAATGCTTATCAGGCTGACTTAGGTATACAGCTCGTGGAAGCTGAGTGAGCAGGAGTTAATATTTAATTTGGATTCCGACACTTCAGCTGAAGCCATGAAGCTGTTTAATCCTGTTGTACATCCAGAAGCTTTGGAGATAGCAACATTTTGTGGAAAGAAGTCTCCACATTTTGTGGATAAGTTTTGTGGAGAAGTTGCAAGACTATAAATCAGAAGTGGGGAGAAGAGAGAGCTCTAGATGTGTTGGATTTCAACTCCCAGGAGCCCCTGCTAGCTCAGCCATGAGCTGGGATTCAAAATAGCTGGAGATTATGTTCTGCCAACTCCTCCTATTGCTATATCCTGAGGGGTTTGATGGGATGTGCCATGCTGGTTCATTTGGAAAAAAAGTCACAGGATACAAAATATGTATTAAAGGCTTGTAAAAATGGAACAAAATGAAGAGCAACTTTTTAAGTAGCAGAGCGGCTCACTGGGCTGGATTTAAAAAAAAAAAAACAAAAACACCTGTGTGTAATAGGAACAAAGAGAGAGAAAAGTGAGTATGGAGCAGTGACTGCACTGGTCGGCATTTTTGATCTTTAGATCAGGCACTGGGTAAAAAAGAAAAAATCAACAGTAGCCCAGTTGTTGGGAGGGATGTATTAAATTCAGTTAAGTCTGGCCTTTAAGGTTTTTTACAGTTTACATAGAAATTCATAAACATTTTTGTTTGCATGTTTTCCAATTCTTGTATTTTGCACACACATGTGCCTAAGGTATTAGTTGCAAATATATACTTTTGAATGCTACTTTCATGAATATGGTGCATTTTTATGGACTCTACTGAAAATTCAGAAAGTGCAAATATTGAAGAATAACTGAGTGTTGGTTTTTGTCTTGGGTTAAAAGTGCAAAATTAGATAAACTCACATTAAAATGGGAACTGAATGGGTTTCTCTGCCATGCCCATGCAAATCCCGCAGGTTAGGCTGATAGTGTATTTAGTTGCCCAAAGCCATCCTATCAATTAGTTGAACAGACTGAACCTGGGCTTCTCCAGATGAACACAAGAAACTGCTTTATAGTAACATTCAGTCCCTCCAGGCCAGTAATATTGGCTCTGATTCATGATAGCTCTCCAGTGCTTCAGAGAGAGGCCGTTGAGAAGGAGTCACCCAGCTGCCTCAAAATCATGTCCGGTGTGCAGAGCTTGTCCCTTACTCACTGTTGCCACTGCCCCATCCCCAGGCTGGAACAGACTTGGAGCGGGAACCCTGCACCAGCAGAACCCAGTGGCTTCCTTCTACTCTTCTAGCAATGTCGGGGAGAGCAGGATTAGAACCACCCTCCCTTCCATTCACGGAAGCCACTTTTTCTCGGGGGGGGGGGTTAAGTGAGTATTCTATTAACATTATAATATTTCTCAATGTGTTGTGATCGGTTTTCTCCCTTTGTTTTAGATGCTTCATGTGAACAAAGCGATAGATCATGTGAGTTCAGGAAGCGGATCCCTCTCCAATATAGACACAAGAATGGATATTTTGGGAAGTAAGCAAAGCATGTGGCTTTTGAAATTGTCAAGTTGTGTGTAAGTGACAAGAGTTGCTTTTCATGGGGCAGGAAGAAAATGATCATTTCTTAAACTGCGGCTCAAAATTTCACCCAACCAATGGAAGGCACACCTCCTCAACAAGCTATAATAAAGTATATCAGCCATTTCCCCCAGACTTGGAAAGAAAGCTAAGACATGCTAAACCATAGTTTGCATAAAAATATATTTTAAAATCATCATCATCATTATTGCACTATATTTCTAGCCCACCCTTTTCGTCTTGTGAGGAACCTAAGGCAGTTTTTCCAGTTCTGTGTTCTCACAACACCAATCCTGTTACCTAGGTTAGGCTGAGACTCTGTGTCTGGCCCAAAGTTGCCCAGAGAGCTTCATGGTTGAGTAGGAAAGAGAACCTGGATCTCGCAGTTCTCAGCACTTTGCTGTATCTGCGGCAATTTGGTTTGGAAATTGCATGATGTTGGACTTCATCAGGTTGATTGCAGATGTCATGTTTCAAGTTTTACGTAGCATGAAAGATGCCATTCTTATAAGCAAAAGAGTGTTTGAGGTGTGTACATGGCATAATATC